CATAGTTCAAATGTGTTCGGTACTTTACGTTGTCCTTTCGCTGATATGATCGGCATTCCATTGCGATTTTTTGTGCTAAACAGCATTCGATCAATTTCGCATCTGAAAGTTTGCCAATTCTCGCTCCACATTGACCGCCCAGCATTTAAATACTTTTGCCAAGGAATTTTTGCCAGGAATGGCGAATAAATAACCATCCAAATGCCCCGAGTTGAACGCATTGCGGCCACAGTCGTTCTTCCCATTTTTGCTTAATGGACTCGTTTTCAATTAGATGCAATTCTTGTGCTCAATCGACGTTTTGGCCATAAAATTTAAAATGCAGTTAAATAAACCTCAAAGCCCTAATTGGGTATCGAAATCAATGGAACGCATAGAGGAAACAACTGATCATCAAACAAACAATCGAGTGGTGTGTTTATTCCACCCTAGACAAACAGTTTTTCGTCTAAAGTGACCGTTTTTTTCACACACTGTTTGAAAACAGTTAAATTACAAGTGAAAAACAATGAGAAACTGCGGCTGCTGCTTAATGGAAGAGCGGTTTTTGGTCCGATGACTTAATTTACACTGTGTTTCTTCAGCGTAAAATAACAGTAGATCGAGATTTCGGCGCTATTGGGTCACACTGAGTGTGAAACAGCAATGGGTTTTCGGTGAAGAAGCCGAAGATTCAATTAATTGTTGCTCAAACTAGACGAAGGAAAAATCGCGGGCAATAATTGCATTATTAAGACGGGTTTCTTGCGTTCCTCCCAATAACGGCAAAGCACGAGTCGATGGTGAAAAAGCGCAATTTTTTCTTCCTCCTGACACCTCAGTCGATATGCAAATGTGCTCGCTCATTCAGTCGCTATCATTCCAAAAATCCGATTTCGTTGAATGGAGAATTAAAAGGTAACGGTTAGTGAGATGTACTTAAAAGTTAGCAATCCTGCAAGAGCCGGTACCTGTTGCGGAACTGACTTGGAATTTTGTTGTTTTGATTACAGTTACTCTCAGAACCCGACGACTATTTTATACGATATTCTATAGGCTGGGTTCAGTGTGGTACCATCTGGTGCATGTGTTTAAGGGCGATGCTTGCAAATTTGCAGATGCAAGATTTTGAATCAACTTTCATTAATAAATACAAATTTAAACCAATCATTTGGTGGCGTTATATTGATGACGTATTCTCCATTTACAGTCATGGCGAACAAAAACTTGATGAATTTTTATCTTATCTGAATAATAAAGAACCAACAAAGACCGTAACGTCCAACGTGGATGGAACTTGAGTGGCCTTAAAATCAACTCAAAAACAATTTTTGATTAAATTAAACTTTTCGGAATTTGATTGAAAGTTTTTCAGTTGGGTGGGCTGATTTTGAAAACGCAAATATTTTAAGCCGCGAACGTATCAAGCGGGAACGCATCACCTGGCCATCCATCTGGCATCTCCCTTAGCATGCCATATGTGCGAGCGAGACAACCGATGACAACTACGTTCCAAAATGGAATACTCAGTTTCTTGTGTTCATCAGTTCATCAATTTTTGAATTAAATTGAACCCACCGGTTTTTTTTGTAAGCTGATTTTAAAACCAGGCTTTTTTCCATGAAAAACTTGGGTTTTCAAACTTTCCTGCTTTAAAAAACACTGACAAAGAGGCACCTTAGTAGTACCTTTTTCAGCTTGAGCTTGAAGCTACCCAAAAATCCTCTGCTTCTTGTCTGTATCATACAGGGTGCTAAAAATATGGGCATGAATGTGTGCAAGTTGGTCGGAGTAGGAATTTCTCCTTAATTACAAATGCTTAATGTTTTACAAATGATGTCGAAAATTTTCGGGACCACCCGTATGCTTTTCCTCGAACTGGCCATTAGCCGGGGTCAATTAAATTTTCTATTCGAATCAATTTGCTTTGGTAATGACGACGCAATTTTGCAGTAGGAAATTGTATTTTTTTCCTATTAGAAAGTTTGCTAGGAAATGTCGCTTTGCTTGATGCTTTGCTTCGTCGCTAATTGGGGCTAACTATTGGGCTTAAAATGCCTAATCGAAAAGGAAATAGTTCGATAATTTATTCAGCGAGCATCTAAGGAAATTCGAACGTAAAACCCGCCAGACAGACCAGCATCTTGACTAATTGTTCGCAATTGTATGCGTAGTTTACTTATTTTGCGGATTTTGCAATTGAAACTGTTTTGACAAATGCCTCCGCGGAAGTTTCCAGGAGGATTTAACGCAAGAGAAACTTACAGGGTTGTTGGAACGTGCACCATATAAGTACTAAAGTTTAGTGCTTCTCAAATATGATTGTTTGTGTGTAGTTGGGGCTGCACCACAATTGTCTGCAGGAGTTCTGTAGCAGATTGTTCGGTGTAGTAAAGCCAAAGTTTTTCAAGACTTTGTTGGTTTACCATGCTGTAAATGACTGGAAGTGTGTCTAAAACGAACAGTTTGAAAAGTGTGAAGTGGTAAGTGATTTTTTTGTTTTTAGTCATTGCTGTGCTTTTCTTTAGCCTGTGGAGGGTCTATTCATTAATATAGTGTGGGCGTTATCTTAAAGATTAACACAGCAATGTATACTTAGTCTTCTTAAGCTTTGAAGTAACAGAGCAAGGTTGAGTTTGGTCGGATGAGATCACAGAGGCCCCTTTGCGTGAATTTCCTTTCGTGGAGATTGTTGACTTGGGTTTCGTCAAAAATCTGCTTTAAATCAGGCCTTGTTCACATGTCTGAACGTTAATATTTTGTCGGGTTTTATCAAAGAAATCAAGGGTTTTTGAACTTGAAAAACTTACAAATTTCACCATTTGGTACGCTGGATTATCGATAGGTTCGCGTTTGTTTTAAAAATCCCCCCTTTACAAGCCTAGGGGTTTGGATGCATGCAATTTTGTATTCTTTCTATTCTAAAGTTTCATTCAATTCAGGCCATTTGCAAATTTTTCTCGAATTTTTAAATCTTGCGTTAGATGCTTCGTTAATAATGAAAACGCGTTTGTTTTAAAAATTCCTAAGTTGCGAAGTAGAGAATTTACACGGCCAGAATTTTGCATTCTTGCAGAAGGATCTTCGTTCGTTGAATGGGAAGAGTTTCATTCAATTGGGACATTTTGGTAATTTTTGCGAAATTTTTCAATCGCCCAGTAGATTGGATGCTTCAGTCTCGATTGTTACGCGTGTGTTTAAAAATTCATCAGTTCTCAATGCAAGCGTTTAGACCCCTGAAATTTTTTAATTTTGTAAAAAAATGTCCATTTGACAAGTGAGAAAAGTTTCATTGAATTCGCCCTATTTTGTAAGTTTTGAGAATTTTTTTAAGCGTCCGTTTTTTAATCCTTTAATCTCAGTTGTGCCGCGCTTGTTTTTTGAATCCATAGGTTCMAAACTCGGACATTTAGACTCTTGAAATTTTYGATTTTTGTAAAAGAATCTTCATTTGTCAAGGTCTGAAAGTTTCATTGAATTCACACTATTTGGTGATTTTCGGGAAATTTTTAATCGTCCGTTATTAAAGGCTTCAATCACAATTGTGCGCGCCTGTGTTATCAATCGATAAGTTCTAAACTCGGACATTTCGACTGTTGAAATTTTCGATTTTTGTAAAAGAATCTTCATTTATCAAGGTCTGAAAGTTTCATTGAATTCACACTCTTTGGTGATTTTTGGGAAATTTTTAATCGCCCGTTATTAAAGGCTTCAATCACAATTGTGCGCGCCTGTGTTATGAATCGATAAGTTCTAAACTCGGACATTTAGACTCTTGAAATTTTCGATTTTTGTTAAAGAATCTTCATTTGTCAAGGTCTGAAAGTTTCATTAAATTCACACTCTTTGGTGATTTTTGGGAAATTTGTAATCGTCCGTTATTAAAGGCTTCAATCTCAATTGTGTGCGCCTATGTTATAAATCGATAAATTCCAAACTCGGGYATTTAGACKGTTGAAATTTTGGATWTTTGTAAAAGAATCTTCATTTGTCAAGGTCTGAAAGTTTCATTAAATTCACCCTCTTTGGTGATTTTTGGGAAGTTGTTAATCGTCCGTTATTAAAGGTTTCAATCTCAATTGTGCGCGCCTGTGTTATAAATCGATAAGTTCCAAACGCGGGCATTTAGACTCTTGAAATTTAGGAAATTTTTTAATGAATTTTCACTTGTAAAGTGCTGAAAATTTCATTCAATCCACTCATTGGTAAATTTAAGATTTTTTGAGACGGTTTAGCAGTGCATAACAACAAACCACCTCTATTGATTCATAAAACACTTACTAGACAATATTTGCGACACGATTCACTTCTTACTCAGTTTTCTTTGAAGATTAATTACGATCAATTGAAGGCAAAAACCTCGTATTTTTGTTATCCATCATTGCACAACTATTAATGGAATCAGACTGTTAATGTTGCAGTTCTCAAGCTAATTTTTCCATTAAATTTCAATTTGGTCAAGGATTTGAAAAAAACGGTGATAATTGAATTAGATTGTTTGCCTCATTGCGAGGAATTTACCATTTGGAATCAGGGAATTGAAGTCTGCATATAAATGCAAAAATAACTATCAAATATTTGATTTTGATGAAAATTTTCACCTGATATAAACCCGGCAAATTTGGGGCCTTTGATTGCAATGAATTTTGTAGATTTGTATAGTAAAATTTACATTTATGTTCAATTAGTAAATTTCCGTTGCATGGAAAGTATGCTGGATTCAATTTATTGGTTTTTGCCATTATTGGATTAATTTGGATGATGGATGATTTTATTTTGAAATAACCTCCAATGTTGGTCTATCCGATTGGAGGCTTGTTTTTCCATTTATTTGTTCCATGTCGATGCATATTTACAATTACTTCAGCTCGCTTTTAATTAGTTTGGTTTCGTTGGAAGTTTTGTTATTTTATTAGTTTATCACTGGGGGTGGAGTTTGCAATTAAATCACATTTCCAGTGCGTTGGAGGTCCATTGCTTTATGAAAATAAGTACATTTTTCCATGAAAAACTGGCCGGGGTGATAGAATGTGCACAATTAGTGCTCTCAATCAATTTCACAGCATTACTCCATTGAACGAAATTGTAGCCTTGCAAAACCGTTTGGTAATTTATCAAAGTCCAACTGAACGTAACGATACTTTTTGTGATTGAAATTAAAAGTGTTACACGATAGGGAATTACATCAATCATCGATCGAAAGTGGTCGATAAAAATCGGCATGTTTGGCACTTTAATAATGAGCTTAATCGACGAACCCACGCAATGATTGTCTCGAATTTGGCACGAGGTAGTTGCTAAAAACACCTGGCTAATTGTTCCAAAAACTGTTGTTTTCCCCGTTTGTCGTTATTAATCGGGTGGCCGATAACAAAAAGTCGCTCCCACATTGACGAATAAATTTAAATTCTTTGACTAATAAAGTTATTAAAGCCGCTGGGTGGGCTGACGATAACTCAAGCAAATTGCAGACAAAAATGTTACTGTACAATCTGGTTATCTTGTCAATTGACTATTTTAATTAAACCTCATTTTATTATCTATTTTCAACTCTAGTTGCCCATTTATTGCTGTAGTTTCTGATTTCTTTGCTCCTCTTTATGCTGTGCGTGTTTTTCTTGTAATGTTCGTCTTTGTTTCGTCGATTTTTTCGCATTTATAAAAGGTTTAATTTTTGTTTTCTTCGAGCGGCGTTGATTGACTGCACATTGCCTTCAACTAAACTCTTGTTCTTCTAAACAATATTTCGGTTTAGATCTAATGGTTACCGATGTTGTGCCGAGTCTTCCGGAAAAAGCAAAAATGAGCCATTTTCGAGAAAACTTTTCTTGCTGGCTCGAACATTGAGAAACTTTTCAATGTTCGATTCCTCATTTTTAGCTAAAAGTTTCTCTTCTAATGTACACATCTGTTGCAATATTTGCTCATTAGTCTCGTAAAAATCTTGAAAAATCTTATGGTGCGATGGAAATCGTGATAATTATCGTGTTTTTCACTTTCGAATTTCCTTCCTGCTCCACTGGACCAGATGTAAATTAAAGTGCGCGCTTGAAGAACCGACAGCTGAAAATGTAATAAACATTTGGTTTTTTTCGGGTTTAATTAGAGCATAAACGAATTATTTTAATTTGCATTAATGGCTGGTGTTTATTGCGCTGACCCAGTTTCGAAAAGTACCGATTTTTCTTATCAATTATTCAAATAAATGAGGATTTATTGGGAAAACTGTCCCGCTTTGGTGGTGATAATGCGAGAGCCGAACCACATTTCTTAAGTGTTTTGCTGGCAAAAGCGGGCTAATTTAATTTATTTCGCACTACATAGTTGGCTGTTTGGATCAACAGCACATTTCCGTCTGTATTCGACAAGGTTTACGAATGTAGAAACTCAATTAAACGGCTAATAGCTGGAATTCCCTTCGCGCCCGATTTTAAAACTTCATAAGGTCGGTGTGCCTTTCCATTTAACTCGAATGTAAACGAACTAACTCCGACATGCCAACAGCAGTTTAATTGGATTTCGCTTAATTTTTAAAAGGGCTGAAATCTCTGGAATTTTGGCAACAGTGTTCAGTGTTAACCTTATGGGGCAATGATGCCATCTCCATGTCGAGGGAAGAGCAGTGGGCTGAGATATGTAAACATACGTAACGCAATGTCGATTTCATCTTCACTATAGCACAAAGCTTCCATTATGTGATAAAGTGAACTTGTGGAGGCTTCAAGCTTTCCCTTCTGTCGAAAGGCGATCCTACGCACAACTTGTACAAGCTAATGGCCAATCGGTAGATAAGAAAATTGTGGGTTTTTACATTTTGCGGTGCTTGAGACGTTAAATCTGTATCACTATTAGGGCCATGCAAGTACTATTAAATAATTTTGGAACTGAACTGATCCGAACTGATTTGGCGCTTTTAGAGAATTGGCAAAGTTTTTATTGCTTTTTTTACCACTGGATCACCACATGGGGTGGGCGAAAACCCCACAAAATTCACACAGTATTCCAAGCAATGAAGATTAAATTTTCAATTTAACGCTTGCAACTGATTGCATGTTGCTCCTGCTGCGCGGGCCTGCATTTTGCTGATTACAGCTTTGGCTCAAAATACTTACTAAACCATTAGATTAATGGTAAATAAGTACAAATGATGGTGCAAAATGAGGCTTTGCGATCTTTTTCGACAGGCAAAATTCACCGACGTTTTCTTTAGACAAAAATATTGTCTTTCCAACAAGTTTGTCTTTGCAAAGTGTAAACAAAATTTTCGTTTTTTGTTCATTAATTTCTTAACCGATTTACTGCCAAAATATTTTGCGCTTGAATGTTCTTTGGACTGAGGAAGCAAGATTTCAACAAAATGAACCCTACAGAACTAAATTTTTCGTAACTTTGGAACTGGATAAGTTCTTGACTGCTTTGAGCGATTTGGTTTCTGTTTGGAGCGTTATTGACCCCATTTGTTTCCTGTTGGTCAGTGTTTTGA